TCTGTTGATGACTGGATACTGGATTCAGGGGCTTCCTTCCATACATCTTCCCACCGGGAGTTAATGCGGAATTATGTTGCAGGCAACTTTAGGAAGGTATATTTGACTGATGGAAAAGCGCTGGACGTGGTGGGGATGGGAGCCGTTGATATTGCACTCCCTAACAAGAGCAATTGGACTTTGCAAAAAGTCAGGCACGTTCCTGAATTGAAGAAAAACCTCATTTCTGTAGGGCAGCTCAAAGAGGGTGGTCATTCAGTAGTGTTCTCAGATACGTGGGGATGGGAGATGTTGATATTGCACTCCCTAACAAGAGCAATTGGACTTTGCAAAAAGTCAGGTTTACTCAAGCGTGAAAACATGAGTCAGAGGTGCATTATGGGGAAGCAGAATAGAGTCAGTTTCCTGAAAGGTGACAGAGCGCCAAAGACAGAAAAACTGAATTTTGTACGGACATATGGTGGAGAACCACAGAGCTATGAAAAAGTCTTGCAAGATAAAATTTTGAGCAAGTGGAAGCTAGCAGAACTTCCACCAGGAAAAAAGACATTGCATAACAAGTGGGTGTATCGGGTGAAGACTGCGTTTGATGGCGGTAAGAGGTACAAGACTGCACTTGTTGAAAAAGACCTTCAGCTGAGGCATGATATTGCCCATGCAGTGGGTCTTCTGTTGGTCTTCTGGCATGAAAACCGGAGGTTTGAGTTGCAGAGGTGGAGGATATCATATATGAGGAAAAGGACGATGTAGTCAGGGGACGATGCAGTTAGTGTCCCGATCTCCAAGTAGGAGAATTGTTAGGTATTGTGGAGCTCGGTCCACAATTTGATTTGGCAATTTTGGCTTGATTTGGCAATTTTGGCGTCTATGAAATTTAATTAAATTTTATTTAATTCCTTCTTCTTCTATGGATTCTCCCGCCTTCCTCTTGTTGGTAAATTGAGGAAAGCAATATTAATTAATATTGCTTAATATTTCTTTCTCCATATTTTCTCCGTTGCTTCCTTTTGGAATTCGCTAATTAAAATGCAGCTAATTAAAATTGCTTCCTTAATGGGCCATATTAGACCATTTAAGGAAGAAGGACTTGCAAAGATATATGTTATTCCCTGTATTCCTTGCTGAAGCTTTTCGGGTAGGAGAGAAGCAGGTTTCCCAGGGTGGCTTACGGATAGAAAAAGGAAAGAAACATAAGCAAGGCTTGTGCTCTCTCTTCGTTTTAAATTTGGCGTGAGGTTTCCAGCTCCCTTGGGTGGTTTTCGTTCTCCGTGTGGCTCTCGGTTTAGAGAGAGAGAAGGTGAGGAGAGAGAGAGAGAATTTTTTCTTGTAAGTCGACGTGATCGACGGTATAATCCTCAAAGCTAATAAAATCCTCTGCAGCTCCGTGGACGTTGGCAAGTTGCCGAACCACGTAAATCATGTGTCGCCTTTTTTTCTGGTGTATTTTTCTAGATCTATTTTTCGATTTATTGCCGTTGTTTTTCACAACATCCTCGACCTCCTTAGTTGGTTTAATTCGAGAAAAACCACAACTCTCAATCAACACAAAGTTGAAAATAATACTTATCAGATGATCTTTATTATTGGTCTCAAGCTAATAAATAGCCGAACAACATTTGAATGGAATAAGCAATAACTCATTCTTATGGAAAGGAAAATAACCATAGCATAATTCTAGCACTAATTTATTGAAAGGAAATGACATTGATTGAAATAACATTAATGTAATTATTGATGGTAAGCATTGATCCCGAATTTTTGTATGTAATGATTTATGAAGTTGACACCACTACAACACCAAAAACTTGATCATTGTATTGTATGAAAAACATTGTATGAAAAATAAGTTGTGTAAAATATATATAAATTATAAGCAATGAATAATGAGATTCTATGCAAGTATACGTATCGTTATCAATTAAAAATGAACTTTCTATTTAAACCCCAAATATCGATGCCACATGAAAGGTGTAAGTTAGCAATGATAAACCTTAATAGGAAATTTATAGAAAATCAAACGAATTCATTGTCACTAACTTCGAATGTTGAGATTTTAACCAAACTAAATTACTTAACTATTAGCAAAAACGGAAAAACCATAAATTCAAGCAAAGGAGGAGATAAATCAGTAGCAGACTTACCTGTGGCCGTGCTCTTCTAGGTTTAGATCTTCTCAGCTCCTGTAAACTCGAAGCATTAGCCACCCCAAGAACCGCAGACATATAAGTACCAATATTCCCCACAATACTCCTCTCCGACTCCAAAACCACATACGCCTCAACCCGATTAGCCGCAGCAGGCGGTTCCCACTGCCTCGAATGAAAAATGAAGCCCATCTCAGCCGGTATCGAATCAAATCCACAAGCCGAAATAACCAAAGCTCCAGTATGTTTCGCCATCTCGTGATACTGCAGCTCCATCCGCTCCATGAACTCAGGCTCGCCGGAGATATCGAGGTAATCAGTACCCACCTCAACGCACGCAGCGACGACGGGATCTCCATAGAGGCGGAAGGGACCGACGCAGTTGAGAACGAGGCGGGTGCGTCGGAATAGATTGAGAAGGGAGAGTCGATCAGATACATCGGCGGAGATGATGGGTATGGGAGGAGGAGAGGAAGGGGAGGCTGCCCAGGCTAAGGATTCGGAGATCTTGGAGGGATTTCGGCCGGCAAGTGCCAGAGTTTTGAAAGGACAAGTAGGGGATGAGAAAAACTTTAGGGCTTCACGGATCACGTACTTTCCGGTGAAGCCCGATGCGCCGAAGATGACGAGATCGAAGTCCGACGCCATGGCGAAGTTGATGTCGAGATGTGAGTTAAAGGAGCTGCTGAAGGTTTAAGAAACAGTTCGCCTTAATACTTTGTGTGTTAGTAAATTTACATAAATTTCGCATAATTCTTTTGTGTTTACATTTTCAATATCTAATCTTTCATATGCATAATTATAAACTTATAAAAAAATTGGTGCATCGCATTTTTAAGATGTGAATAATAATAATATTTTTAGATGTAATATATATAAATAAATAAGAATTGTATTGAAAACGCCGGCGTACTGTTTGGTTCGCGCATTTCGCCAGTTTATCCGAAACTGCGTTTGGGTTTTTATACTAAACGCAGGCCGCGGGTCGTCCCCTGTGGTCGGCCCGCAGACCGCGTTTAAGGATAAGCAACCCTCAAATGGACCCTAAATCTCAAACTTCTACAAGATGTGATAATTTTTTTTAAATTAAAATATTATTTGTAATTTTGTAATATTAATCTCATATATATGGACTAATTCACTAAGATGAAGATTTGTTGATTTGTTATCATATATGGGCTAATTCACTGAGATAAAGTTTTATTGATTTGTTGTTTTAACTTGCTCCCTAAAATTGATACACACCTCGAAGGGTAAGTTTGGATTCATATTAATGTGTGGTATTAATGATTGATGTGTGTTGAAAGTTCTGTGGCGTTAGAATAATGAATTATCATCTTAGCGTTGCACGAAAACCCAACACGCACTCAGGTAATTAAAAAGAAATAAGTAAGACGAGCACATCGACTTTTTGTGTGGAAAACCTTAGAAATGGGAAAAAAACACAGGGTTTATTCCAGTTTAAATAATATACTATGATTGTTGAGTGCACAGGTTCATTCCATTGTTCTAAATGTAAAGAAGATAAAGTTATAAAGTTGGTGATTATAAATGTACAACATTAATTTATTGATAAAGTCATAGTTTAGTTGTAATCGATGAAATTCTCAGTGATAGCAGACTGCAACAACCGTAGTCGATTGTTATGAAGACAATAGTCTGTCTTAAATATTGTAAATGATTGTTATAATGTCAGTTTATCATATAGGTCACAAATGAAAGCCATGGTAGTAATTGGTCATATGGGTCACAAACGGTTGCTTCAAAATCATCGGTTGGCTACCAAGGTCATAGTAGAAAGTTACATAAGTTGTGAGCCACGTAGACTGAAGTGGTGAGCTGTGATACCTTCGGTAGAATGCAAAGACCAAAGTTGGGAGCTATATGAGTTGTGACCCGTGTAGGTCGTAATTAATCACAAAAGTTGTAAGAGTGGGTTGCGATGAAGTCGAAAAGACTGACGATGATAATTGCACAAGTTGTGAGTCATGTAGATCGTAGTTGTGAGTTGTGATGACGTCTATAAGTCGTAGTGGATATGATATATTTCCATCCATACTCTTATTTTCCTTACCACTTGTTGAGAAAATTAGGGCGAAGAAAAACAAGAACGACTCAAATCCAGAAGAACACAGAGATTTAACGAGGTTTGACAAAAATGCCTACGTCCTCGGGAGCAGAGCGACGACTTCCTTTTCAATATTCAGAAAAGAGTACAGATAAATAAGAGTACTGCCACTCACCAAGGTAGCCATTCTGCCATCTTACCCGAGGACTACCACTCACCAAGGCATCTTCTTCCAAGCTCTCTCCACCTTTCATTTGTCAGCGATTTCTTCGCTTTTCACACAAGGAGGAAATCGCTTTTCACACAAGGAGAAGAGATATAGAGGATATATATATATATATATATATATACTATCCAAGAGCCCCTTTTACATCAAATTGTCTTTCTATTATAGATGCTAAGAAGTTCAATAAGTAAATTACAATATTGCATTTGTTTTAAAAAGATACTACAGAGTATTTTGGTCTTGCGTGTTGGAGCTATCATCTTGGGGTTTTTTTGTTGAGGGAAAAAGTCATTCATCGGGGAGAAGTCCCCTGTCGGGGGCAAAAAGTCCTCCACGAGGGGAAGAGTCATTCGTCGGGTAGACGTCCCCTGTCGCGAAGAAAATTCCTTTGTCAAAGGGAGAAGTCCTCCGTCGGGGTGGATAAGTCTTCCATCGAGGAGAAATGTCCTTTGTTGGAGAAAAAGTTGCACGCACGAGACAACATTTTGCCTTAAGATTCATGCATACCACTTTCAATTATACAATATATATAGTTGTGTAATAAATTCATCGACCACGCATAGACCATTTAAAACAATAGTAACTTTTCCTCACACATATTTCATCATCCAAACAAAAGCTTTAAGGGCTATAGAAAATTTTATTAGGCTACTTCTTATATTTACAGGTGTTTTTTTAAAGTATATTACAATATACAAGACTATTTGGGATCATTTTGTGTTTTATTTTTAAAAAACATGTATCTTTGATGCATTTTTTAAATACTTTTACTTATTTTTGTTTAAGAATGAATCAGTAGTTATTTTGAGTATTTTTTAAAATAATTATCATAATAAGCCAGTTATCGCTACTTATTATTGTTACTGTTATGAGCTATTTTTTTATATCTAACACTTTTATGGTACGACTCATATATCATATCAGGACAGACGCTGGATCGAAGCAGAGCGGAGCGGAGCGGAAGAATCTGTTCAAATTGGGAAGTTACGTGGGTTGGGGTGGGGGGCAAAGCCCCACGGTTTGGTATAGGGGTTATAGTTACGCGGCTTCGGTTCGGAATTGAGGTATTTAAGAGGCGGTACAAATTTCGGCCCACGACGCAGATTCGAAGGAGGATTTCCCGTGAAGGAGGAATCGACGAGATCGCGGCTTTTGGAAGCTGCGATAGGCGACTTCGACGAGGGTTCAGGAGATCGCGGCCAGGGCGAACCAGAGAGGAAGAGTTTTCGGCGGAGGCTTGCGAAGGCAGAAGCAGCGAAAGCGGAGGCTTCTGCGACAGTCCGAACAGGCCGAAGGATCACGAAGGAGGTTCGCGTACGCGAATAGGCGAGGCTTTAGGCGGGGCTTCTTCCACAGGGCGGTTTGCGGCAGATCGGAGCAGGTTGTGAATCGCGGCAGGCAGAAAAAGGAAAGCGTCCGCGGCAGGCAAGGAAGGCAGCGTGGAAGAATTTCCTTTCTGGCGTGCGGATCGCGGAGGCCTGTTCTCTTTCCTAGAGAGCAAAAATCAAGGACGCTGCGGAGAAAAAATATAGGAAGGAATTGTTTGCTGTAGCCATTTTCCTGTCCTGGACAACAAGAATTACGGAAACAGGAAAGAATTCGGGACTTTCCATTGGAGGAGAATATTCCCTCCAAAATAGCAGAGGAGGAGAATTTTGTTTCCTGAGAAAAAAAAATTAAAGGAAAGCTTTTTTAATTAAATTGATTTAAATCAAATTAATCAAATTTAATTAAGGATTTCCGATAAGAAAAAAAAGAATTCGGGACTTTCCATTGGAGGAGAATATTCCCTCCAAAATAGCGGAGGAGGAGAATTTTGTTTCCTAAATAAAAAAAAAATCTTTTTTTTTCTTTCCTCTTTAAAAAAAAAAAGTCTGAGCAAGGATTTTTGCAGAGGAATTTTTTTGCAGTTTTGTTGCAGGATTAATTTTCAGATGGCATTTTCTGGTGCGAAATTCGAGGTGGTGAAGTTCGACAGAACTGGTAACTTCGGATTGTGGCAAACCAGGGTGAAAGATCTGTTGGCGCAACAGGGAATCTTGAAAGCTCTGTGGGTAGCAAAAGCAGATGTCATGGAGGATGAAGATTGGGACGAATTGCAACAGCGAGCGGCAGCGACGATACAACTATGCCTAGCAGATGAGGTTATGTATCACGTGATGAATCTGAAATCTCAATCTGAAATCTCCAGTCTCCAGGGGAGATTTGGAAGAAATTGGAAGCTCATTTTATGGCAAAATCTCTGACGAACAAGTTGTATCTGAAGCAAAAGTTGTATGGGCTGAAGATGAAAGAAGGTTATAATCTGGCGCAGCATGTTAATGGCTTCCATCCAATAATCACAGGTTATGGCTTGATGTGATTATTGAGGATGAGGATCGAGCGATGATTTTGTTGTGTTCATTGCCCTCTTCCTATGAACACCTGGTGACTACTCTGACATATGGGAAAGAGACTATCAAAGTTGATGAGATTACTGCAGCGTTGTTGGCTCACAACCAGCGGAAGCAAAATGCAGGGGGAAACTCTCACGGAGACTGTTTATATGTTAAGGGTAAGCAGGATCGTGGAAGGAAGAAAGAGAAGAAGAGTTCTTGAAGGCGAAATTCCAGATCCAAGTCTAGAGGTAAAAAGGAAATTCATTGCTACAAGTGCAAGGAGCCAGGTCATATGAAGCGAGATTGTCCAAAGCTGAAGAAGCAGACTGGAGAGAAAAGTGATACTTCATCAAATTCTGTAAATGTGGTGCAGAATGATAGTTCAGATTACAGTGATGGTGATATGCTATCAGTTTCATCAACTCAGTTCACGGATGCATGGATTCTTAATTCAGCGTGCTCTTATCACATAACACCTAATAGGGAGTGGTTTACTTCATACAGGTCTACTAATTCTGGCTCACTCTATTTGGGTGATGATAGATGCTGCAATATAGTTGATATTGGAGAAGTCAGAATTCAGATATATGATGGCACAGTTAGAACGTTATGTGATGTCAGACATATTCCAGATCTGAAGAAGAATTTGATTTCTTTGGGCACTCTACACAGAAATGGTTTTATTTTTA